CCATCCCTTCTCCGCGTCCTCTTGTTCAGTGCCCCCCTCATCCTATTGCGCTTCCTCCAAACCCCCTTCCTTGTCTGCATCCCTTCCCACACCCCCACGTTTCGCTCAGGGTGTCCTCCCTCCAGCCCCAGGGCGCACCCTGGTGCCGCCTCCGCACCCCGCTCCCCACCCTGCGCTCAGGTTTCCTTTTGGCACCAGTGCCCTCACCCCTACAACCCTGGTTCCCAGCGACAGCGACGCCCGTGGCCTCCCCATTTCCCGGGCCTGGAGCCCAGAACTGCCTCCTCGGGCCCCAGGATTCTCCCAGTCCCCGAGCACCTCCCTCGGTCACGCCCTCGCGTCAGTGCGGGCCCACGCCCGGCCGCCCGGTCGCGCTCCTCCCCGCAGGCACCTCGGGTGGTCGCCCAGGTCCGTGCGGTGCGCCTCCCGCAGGCAGCCCTCCGGGATTCCCAGCGCGCACCCCACCCTCCGCCCCGCTTGGGCACCTACGTCCAGTCTCTGCCGACTGCCCAGCAGCTCTTTTTCTCCAGGGCCATGGTCCTTCCTACCTTTGGTTTTTGCCACTCTTCCCTTCTGATACTTTAAGGACGGGCGGGCCATTCACGCTCTCTAAGGATGTCCCCGGTTAATAGACTAGTTGTCGGTCCCAAAGAGCAAGTAACGACCGTGCTGCTGCTTCTACAGGCTCTTCCAGCTACTTGAATGATGAGAAACTTGTTGAGATTTATAGAATTTGCTTAAATAAATTTACCTGTACAACAGAGCCTGTCTTCAGTGTGCTCTCCCAAATTGTCTGATGTTATTTGCATTGTACCTTTCACCTGGAGATTTCATAGGTGAGCATTTCAGAAATAAGAGGGACTAGGAAAGGCCAGCCGCAGTGCATTTTGCATAAAATAGTGTGGTGATGTCTCCTAAAGTTTAGGCAAGAATTTATGGTTTACATGCCTCTTTTTCCTGCTTGTGTAATAGGCCTGTATTTTGAGTTCATTAATACGAATTAATATAGCACATAACTTTCTTACCCTTTGTTAACGTTTTGCTAGGCTGATTCTGATTTGAGAAATAGATTGACTCCTCTGTGTATTGATATGTAGTCACAAAAAGAACTATAAGGAAGAAAATAAAAGTATTAGAAGTAAGAAGTGACTATTTCCTTATAGGTTGTACTTTGCTCCTGAAGTACCATGTTATCTTTTATTGCACACAACTTTCCCCAGGCAGGATTGAGTGAACTAAAGTCCTAGTTCAGTGCAATCTCTCCTTTTAGTAAAAGAAATTAATTTTGATAGCTTATCACTGCTCAGTATGACCTTGCACTCTACCTGCTTTGTGAAAAATAACAATTTACCTCTGCTCCATGAGTAAGCAAGAGTCAGGAAGCCTACATTTTGAAAAGAATGCCCCAGTCTAAAAATCTGCCCATTGTTTTTACATTCCCCAAATCTAGAAAAAAGATTTTTAAATTATGATTTCTAGTTGGCATGTCTGTTTAGTAAATTTGAGCCTGGAATTATAATTATGTTAGATTTTATACAGGGAAGGCTAGTTGTAGTACAGTGACATCTGTTTATAATTGTTTGCATATTTATAACAATAGCCTGAGATTTAAGAGTTTGACTATTTATTTGAAGTTGACTTGTGTGAGGACACTATAAAAAAAAAACGTGTTAATTGGCTACGTGGGATCAGGAAGTGGGATCAATTATGGATTATTTGGATGTCTGAAACGTTAGGTACCTTGAGGAGTTCCATTAACAATATAGAAACCAGGGAAGAAAGCTGATTTAGGGGATATAATGGTGGCTTCATTTTTAGAATTTTTAGGAGCCTGTTGAATATGAGGCAGTATTTCCCCTGGAAATGTTAAGCAAATAATTAGAGACATCCAGCTGAGGTCCTGGGGGAGGGGGTACAACTGCAGAAACAGACTGGTGGTCATCAGCAGTGGTGTTTAGTTGATGATGTGGGCATGACTGAGAGGTAGGGTGTCAAGAATATGGGAAGAAAATTAAAGAATCAAAGGACCAAGGCTGGAACATTGGGATAGACCCATATTTAGGAGTTAGAAAGGAGGAGACAACACTAGACAAGTAGGAGAACCATTTATGGGCAAAATCAGTAAAGCCAAGGAAAGGACTTCAAACAGACTGTGTGGTCCATAAGGACTACAAGTAGGCAGAGGTCAAGGTTATTGAACAGAAAAGGCCTTTAGGAAGACTGTCCTATCACTAGTGGAGGAGAGACTGATGAGGAGGTGGACATAGCAGTTGCAGCTTACCCTTGGAGTTTAAGAAAGGAAAGAGAAAAACGAATAGTTAATCAGAGTGAGCAAGAGAGTCAAGTGAAGTTTTAAAAATAATATGGGAGGCTTGCTTGGGTGGTTTGGAAACAGTCTTGTGACACAGAAAGTTTGAAGATTCCAGAAGAAATTAGTTGAGAGATAATGAAAAAATATATGCCTAAGGCTCAGATAGGGGATTACTGGGATGGAAACAACTCATGTTGGCTGCCACTTCCCTCCAGGCTAAAGCAGTTGTCCTTAATCGGCCATGGCAAGTAGATATGCTCTCCCAGTCCTCTTGGTCATTGGGCCAGAGTTGCCATACCAAGCTGGGCTTTCTGTAGATACACAAGAGCAGCCTAACAAGTGCCAGGGTTTGTTTTAAGTTTTGGGTATGTGAAAATGCAGAGGAGTTGGACTCTATATTAATTCTAGGAAGAAACACAATGAGATATATTGAGTCATGATGAAAAAACAAGTTGTAAATGAATTTTTTCAAAGCAGATAAGTTTTAGGAAACAGACACACGGGCATTTTCATTTGTTGGACTTTTACTAAAAGCTCAACATTGGTGTGACTATCCCGGACTTACTTATCAATATATATGCAACTCTTAAAACCCCCAAAATTTTCAGGAAGTTTGGGTTCTGAGGGATGGGGCTTATGCTAACTTTTGACTCCTTTAGAATTCCTGCATTTCACTGTGTCTACTTTCCTTAAGCAGCTAGTTCTATTCTGTAGTCATTGCAGTTAACCTATTTCTAAGATTAGTTTTCTCTGGTGTATAAAGCTATTTTCTTATCATTAAAAAATATTGATTTAATTCTAGATTTTGGATACAAAGGACCTTACAATAGAAAAAGTGGCCATCAACGGACAAGAAGTCAAATATGCTCTTGGAGAAAGACAAAGTTACAAAGGATCACCAATGGAAATCTTTCTTCCCATTCCTCTGAGCAAGTATGAATGTTATTTTCTTTTATAGCTAAATAATGGGGGAATATATATTTAATTAATTTAGACATTTTAAAATCTGTTTTTAGCTTGCGTGTATTTAGTAATTGGTACACTGCTCCTACTGATCTGCTATTCAAATGGAAACTTTTAGTGAAAATTATATGTTCTTAAGATACTAAAGAAATTCATTGTATGAAATACTCAAGAATAGGACTTTTGATAACTAGCTTCTTTACTCATCATTTTACTAATATCTAATAAAATGTGATAGTGGGAGCATGCCATCTTAAGGAAGCATTTCAGGATCACCTGGGAAGCTTATAAAGCTGCACATTTTTCACCTTTTCCCAAGAGGCCAGCCACTTTTATTACTGGAATAATAATAGTGACAAACAGAACCATTTCTGTGTAGCACTCTTGAGATAAGTGCTTTAGATGCAATCTTTCACCTATTCCTTCCAGTAACCCTCTAGGGTATGATTTGCATTTCACAGATGAGGAAAGGGAAACTCAGAAATAAAGTAGCTTATTCAAGAAAGTGACAGCCAGAATTGTCATATTGGGATTATCCACTCCTCGATATAGT